TGACGTCATCACGTGATTTATTATAGAATTTTGAATATTTAATTTTTCCCATAGACTTTGTACACAGAAATTTTAAAAAAAATGTCGATTTTCAGAGGGCATTTTCAACTCTTTGCCAGTAATTCATTTACACCAATCTTTGTCCAAGCAAAGACCCTAATTCAAACAACATTGATGACGTCATCCGGTGTTTATTTATAGGCAATTAAATTGTGACACTTTTAATATTTAAAAATGTATAAGAAATGAACCGTACGCGTCCGTAGCATTCTGTTGCCGGCAATTGGTAGAGTAGGTTGAGGTCTTTATTTCATTCAGTGTGCGTGAAATCACGTGACCCTTGCTTCCCGTCGAAAAAGGCCAAAACCGGAAGTGGCTTATTATTTGAAAGTGGTAGTAGATATGAACTTGCTTTTAAGGGTGTTCTTCTCTTGGCTAATAGTATTCTTCAAATCATTTACCGATGACGTCATGCAATCTTCGAGCGCCCTTTAGCGACAGGTTGAAAATTTTCAAAAATGTCTTTTGAATAGATTTCTGTGGCGAGGTTTGTCGGAATCGCCTAAATATTGGTGTATATGATGACCTTGACCCACTTAAGACGTGTGCGAAGTTTTAGGTGTATGACGTCATCAGACCGGAAGTTATAGTGAAAAGACCTTTTTTTTTCCTTTTTATCTTGAATTGCCCATTAAATGATAGCGTAAACATTTGCCTCAACAGTGCCAGCTTGTCAAATTGTTCACACAGTTGACGCGACGTCGGCAAAAAACTACCCTTGCCCAAGTTGCGGTAGAGAGCTTTAAACCATGCACAGGACTTCCATAATGTGTATAGCACGTACACGTGGCTTTGAAACGTCGTTCAATGTACATTACGTCCCCTCATTCTCGCCAAAAGAGGGCAGTATATAATTTTAACGGCTGTACGGGCGGCGAATATTTTTTTTACACAAAAGTACAGGGTGACCATTTTTCAGGCGACTTGAATCAAGGTTATAGGATTGTAGAGCGCCACGTAGCGGCGCCCTACAATCCTGTAACAATTTACCTACGCGTGCGCGCGTAAACTCTCTCCACATGTGCGAAAGTATATAATCAAGGAATTGCGAAATTTTGCCGAGCACCGCCGTTGCCTAGTGGTTATGCAGGCTAGTTGCTGATCAAGGGTCTCGAGAACGAATCCTGACCCTGCCCTGTCAGATTTTGCTCTTTTTTTTAACAAGTCTAAGTTTTATTTTAGAAACGTTATTTTTCAGTCAGATACTACTTGTAAAGCAGCAAGTTTCTTTTTCTTTTCTGATCCGAGGCTCTGGAGGATTTTTTTTAAACAGGGAAATAAAGTCCGAAGTCCGTACCAAGTTGAAAAAGAGTAGCCTCCACTCCAGCCTGTTTATGTTAGCCATGCCCCATAGGAAAGCGCACAAGGTACCCCAGATAGTTGAGTAATTAAAAATATCGCGTACGGGCGCTTAGGTTAGGCTGTGCCAGGCAGCGAAACGAGCGGCACAGAGCCTCATCTAATTAGCACTTTTACGGGATCAAAAGGATAGCGCGTTACAAAAAAACGGCACACAGTATTAAGTGAATGCCCCCCCCCCCCCCATCCGCCAATCAAAAACTTTAACGGTTGTACGCATCCACAGGATAAGCTATGCAAGGCAACGTAACGAGCGGTACAGAGCCTGATCTGAACACTTTTACGGGATCAAAATAAGGACAGCTGCGCGTCACCAAAAAAATATAACGGCACACCGTATAAAGTGAATGGCACCCCCATTCGCAAATCAGTAGACTTGTCTCAGTGATTTTTGTTCTGCTTTAGGGGAAGTTGGACACTTATGCAAATTCAATAAAAATATCACACGTTTTTATTCTACAAGCCACTTTAGGAACTATTTTGAATCTGATCAACTTTAAACTCAACACAGTCATAAACCATCATCTGAAGATGTATGCCGAAACTTTTTGTCATCGTGACGTCATCAGGGGTCACGTGACATCTATTTATAGATTCAATTTTTACAGCCTTATAACTATAGAACTATTTGACCGATTGATCTCAAAATTGGTAGGTTATACAGACAGGGAAATGTTAAAGATGAAAATTTATATGTCAAGGTCACGTGACCTTCACTTCCGGTTATACCGGAAGTGGTAATTTTAGGCCCCGATATCATATTTCATGACCAGATCGGGTTGAAACTTCACATTAATACAAAGCTGTATTGACAGATAATTATGTTGCATTATTATTACTGTGCACATAATAATTGTCATGTCATGACGTCATGAATATTTAATAAGACAATCTTTACAGTCTTATAACTATATAATTATTTGACCGATTGATCTCAAACCTGGCAGATATACAGACAGGGAAGTGTTATAGATAAAAATTGACATGTCAAGGTCATGTGACCTTCACTTCCGGTTTTACCGGAAGTGGTAATTTTAGACCCTTGTATCATTTTTCCAAGAATTATTAATCTCAGGTTGAAACTTCACATTAATACAAAGCTATATTGACTGATAACTATATTGAATTATTATTACTGTGCACATAATTATTGTTATGCTATGACGTCATGAATATTTAAATGGTTATACCGGAAGTGCACTCTTTAAAAGTAATAATTTCAATTTATTAATTTCATTCTTTGTTAATCATTAAATCATTTTGTTTACGGTCCAATAGAGAATCAAATTTGGGAACAGCTCTGTGATTGTTCACAACCACAACCTCTAGTTTTTGTTATTTTTGTATTTTCCCTTTTTTTTTTCTTCCACTTTTTTCCCATAGGATAACACGTGTTTTCGTTCAACAGGGCACTTTTGGACTTTTTTTCAAATCCGATTGACTTCAAACCTGGCACCCACTTAAAGCACCATCTGAAGATGTATGCCGAATCATGACGTCATCATGACGTCATCACGTGTCATCCAAGAAGTGCATACTTTAAGGTCCTATATCTACAGAACCAAACGTCCGATTTGTGTAAACTTGGTATGCAGGTATTCCGGGACGTGTTATAGACAAAAATTGCAGTGACGTCACGATGACGTCATCGTGTGATTTTATATGAATTATGCAATTTTTTGGACCTTTTACTCAAATCTCATCAATGGAACATGGTAAATTCAAAATTCTTTTTGTAAGATGTTGTTAGGTGAAAGATAGATGCACAAAATTGCATAAAATGTGTGACGTCATCACGACGTCATCAAAAACGTGATTTTGTGATTGACAGATAAGGGTATGTCCGATCGTTATGAAACTTATTGGGTAGGTAGGTATAGATAAAAACTTTCAAAATCTGAAGTGACGTCATCATCTGATTTTATTATGAAGTTTTCAAATTTTATTATTTTCTTCAAATTTTGCAAAAAATTATATAAAATACGGTCTGATCGACTTCAAACCTGGTACACACTTATACAACCATCTGAAGATGTATGCCGAATCATGACGTCATCATGACGTCATCACGTGTCACGTGACGTCATCCTAAAAAGTGCATACTTTAAGGCCCTACATCTACAGAACTGGAGGTCCAATTGGGTTAAAACTTGGTATGCAAGTATTCCGGGACGTGTTATAGACAAAAATTGCAGTGACGTCACGATGACGTCATCGTGTGATTTTATATGAATTATGCAATTTTTTGGACCTTTTACTCAAATCTCATCAATGGAACATGGTAAATTCAAAATTCTTTTTGTAAAATGTTGTTAGGTGAAAGATAGATGCACAAAATTGCATAATATGTGTGACGTCATCACGACGTCATCAAAAACGTGATTTTGTGATTGACAGATAAGGGTATGTCCGATCGTTATGAAACTTATTGGGTAGGTAGGTATAGATAAAAGCTTTCAAAATCTGAAGTGACGTCATCATGACGTTATCGTTTGATTTTATATTACTTACACTTATACAACCATCTGAAGATTCAGGTCGAATCGAACGTGTCACATGACATAATCATAAAACTGCATAGTTTAAGTCACTATATCTAGAGAACCTGAGGTCCGGTTGGGTTCAATCTCGGTATGCAGATATTCCAGGAAGTGTTATAGACAAAACTTGCAGTGACATCACGATACCGTCATCATGTGATTTTATATGAATTATTCAATTGTTGGACCTTTTACTCATATCTCATCAATGGAACGTGGTTAATTCGAAATCCTTTTTTGGAAAAAAAATTGTTAGGTCGTAGATAGATACAGAAAATTTCAAAAAATGTGTGCCGTCATCATGACGTCATGAAAAATGTTTTTTGTTACATAGGATGGACACTTTTTGCACAGAATACGCATGTACATGTTCATTCGACCTGGATGAAACTCCTTTACGGCAGTCATTAATAAAACGGCCGAAACAGCTCAGTGTTTGTCCACAAACACATTTCTGGTTTATACTTGTTGCCGTTGCCGTTGACGTCATCATCAAAGTAAATTCCCTGTTACAGCTGGATCATTGATTTTCATTTTTTACCCAACTTTTTAATAAATGTCGCATCACCCCCGAAAAGAGGCGAAATTCTTGAATTCTTGAAATTGCTTGCTTAACTCAATTTGGTCGGGAAAAATTGCATCACATTGTTTTGCACTTGGTGAGGTTCGTTATGCGTTGGTGATCCTTAGAGTTTCACAGATTGACCCCAAAGAAAGCATAGTCCCCATGGCCCACTGAGTCATACCTTTGGAAGCGTGTGTGCCAAATATAACCCTACACACTCAACTGCTTGGTATAATAATATTGCGTATAAAGCGCACATATCCACATGATTATTATTACATCATTATTACCCCTGCCCATGAAACATTCCAAATACCATCTCAGCTCCCTGGGAAGTACACGATTCGAAGCTACCATTTTGGCGCAAATCAGCTACAATCAACCATGGGTAGGATTGTGGCCAGTTCCAAAATTAAGGTCGGTTAAACTGTGACAAGATGCTCAAAGAGCCGTGATTTTTTGGTTCTCTTTTTCAGAATTATTTTGTTCTAAGAAAACAAAATGGGTAGTACCCAAAGCAACAGCGCCAAACTGAATGGATACGAGGATACGTATATTGATTTTGAGGACGTCTCGTTCGCTAAAGGTACATCCCGACGGGTTTACCGGGGCAGATTTCGTGGAGATCAACGCGTGGATGGAAAACAGGGCGTGGTTAAAGTCTACAAAGAGTGGTATTCTTCAAACCTAGAAGAGCTTACCTGGAAAGCAGACGACCGTGCCTATAAAATAGCTAGTGAGATTGCGCAGGAGTTTAACAACTTGTATCAAACGAGCAAACCAATCAAGTTTATTACACCTGAATTCATCGATGTTGATCCCCGTACCGCTCAAAATTTCCTTGGTTTCACACAAAGTGAAAGAGGTTCAAACACAGATGTGAAACCTAAAGTCAGTGATGTTGAGCCCCGTACCCCTGATGTGAAACAAAGTGCAAGTGGTTCGAACACAGATATCCCTAAAATAGCTACCATTGCAGTCGAGAGGTACCTAGACGGAACATATGTCAAATTCTCAAGCAACACTGGGTATGTTCACCCTAAACCAATGGCCACGCCAGCTGCTTTCAGTCATTTCTCTTACCATGTAACAGATGGAGAAATTCTGGTTTGCGATCTGCAAGGGGTGCGCACTAACACAAGCTACGAGCTAACAGACCCAGCTGTTCACAGCGGCGGTACAAAGGCGAACGAGTACGGTCCCAATGACTGGGGGAAATGTGGTATCGTGAAATTTTTTATGACCCACAAGTGTAATGAATTGTGTAAAGAGCTCAAGAAACCCACAAAGGCTCTTGACTGTACAGAAAGTCAATGGGAGGAATTCACCAAAGTCGTTGATAAAATGCCTGGGGGAAGTTCGACAGCCTCCACATATCGATTGGAAGAGTCGTACGACATCTCCCCATCTAAATTGAGGGAAATACAAGAAAGATTGAAACTTAAAGCAGACGTTGAAAAATAAAATGTAAAACAAAGATAACGCAGAATTCAACTGTTGTTTACATTGTTACGTTTTGGTTCTTCACATACAACAGTCTTTTGTGCGTTATGCTTGAAGTAAATATTGCGCTGAAGGTAGAATCACACCACCAGATCTCCTAAGGTTTCACTGAAATGCCATAACGCTGCTTGTTCACATAATTATCACGGTATTTAGTCACGTAAGTAGGTACCTCTGCGACGCGTGGAGCATTTTTAAGGATTGATATGAATTCATAACATTTGTTCTAGAGGCCCATTGGCAAGCGAAAAAAAATGAAAGCCGTAAAATCACGATATAACTCCATACATTACATTTCTATTCTGATTCTTATTTCGTTTGGAGGGTTTATACTTGAATTGGTAAATGAGTGTGCATTGCATATTAGGTTTCTCAATACGCAAACCTCGTGAACCTTTAAATGTTTGCAAAGGCTTTGAATGTTCTAATGGTGTACTCAGTGTCAGAAAAACATTTGGAATTATAATTCAGCCTCGTAGTAATTAACATTTGCATTGCAATGCATCCGGAACCAACCACGTTGCCAGGTTGTCGAGCAGTACGCGCCCACCACTACCTCTCACCCTGGTATTGGATCATTCGCGTATCCAAAATTGTTGGATACGTATGCAAAAGAGGTATAGTCTGGTGCCTGCCTGTGCGTTACATTAGCGTTTGTTTTTGTATGCGGTTTCTAGGGTAAGAACGTAATCAACAAGAGATACGAAAACACGTTGTTTTCGTATTTAAAATGTTACAATTTTATCTAGCCTATGTGCAGTATCACATTTCATATTAATATTAGCAAATTGGAAAGGAAATGATTATTTTTTGAAAAGGCTAGGTTGTAATAATTACAATGAACGTGAAAACACGTAATACACGTTGTAAATAACACCAAGTACACCATATAAATCCAATACTTGCCAATTGCGGTATCGAATCAGGATACAGGAAGAAAGTTTCCTATCCAGGGCTTACTATAGGAAAATGAGGTTGGAAATAAAGTAAGCACAGGCGACGAGGTTGGAATTTCATTGGCTTTTATTCGGATAATTAAGACCGAACATGAGAATGGTCGTATTTTGCGAAATATCTTAGTAGATTAAATTTAAATATAAATTCTACATTTCGATTGAGTGTGTATTCGAAAAAAAAAATTGATCGACACTAACGTATATAGGTTAGTTCAAGACAATTCGTCTAGACCATTGTAATACACTGCAATTATGTTATTGATTACCATTATTTTATATTCTGTATTCCTGTGTGGCGTTTATTTGTGAGGAAAAACATTTGTAGATCAGTATTATAGCAGTTACGTCAAGAAAATATGAGCATTGCATTACATTAGTAAATAGTGATATGGCTGCTTAATATGCCCCCATTGAAAATATATTTGCCGTGCTCTTCAGCAAACTTGATATTTTTCCTGTCAAATTTGTGATGCCAGAAATGTCAGCAATTGAAAACAGCTATGTAACATGGACAAATACATGCAAGTAGTAAAAGTCCGAACTCCAAAACAAGAAACAACTCCACAAATTCTTTGAGTTGCTCTATGCAAATGGTCCTCCACCTACACTTACATGAAGTACCATTTGTATTTTTTTGCTGAGGTGTTGAGAAAAAAATATATCGTTGATGTCAGCTAAGTGTTTCGACAAATCCTATAGAATATGATATGTTGCATAAATTCGCTAGAACTTTTAATCATTTCTGTTACATGTTTCATAGAGCACCTAAAAACAATGTAAGGCATCATTTCGTTTGCTGTATATATATTATATAATACCATGAAAATTGTATGGAAACCTCATTATTTCTCAAATGTTGATGACTTATTCGGGGTTAAACAAGTGACTAAACGCTGCAGTTTTTTAAATTATTTTTAGACGTGTTTTTGTTCAAGTTGTTGGTAATAATTTCGTCTATATCCTGACTGCTCAGCTTAACAATAAACCATTTTTTTAATTTTAATGTTAACACCACTTTTTGTGAAAGTAGTTAATGAAGTAGTCTCTGGATTAAGCTACTTATAGTACCAAGTTGTTTACTTTTGTTAACATTTACATATTTACACATTTCGTGTTTACTTGTTGGGTGGACCAGTTTGGTGGTTAGTTAAGTTTATGAGCGCGCGCATGCGCAGAAATGAGCATTATAGACAAAATGCATAAGCTGTGCATGTGTGATGTAGTACAGACGTTTTTGAAGAATTTCTAAAAAGGATCAACAGTATTGACCAGAAACAGCAAAAGCTCGTGAACAGAGGGACTGAACATAAATACAGGATAATTTTATTCACTTTTTGTTATCGGACGACCTGTGGAATTTACGAGAACATAGAAAGGACACGACCAATGGAAAATATTAACGAGACAATGCCTCACCATAATCAGATAGTAAGTCTTCGCAGTGATAACTTGAATGTAGTTAATACGCGCCGCTGCAAAATAATTCCCAGAAACGATTATGATCTCAATATCTCAATAACACGGCAACTAAATAATTTTCATCATTTGCCTTCTATTTCTATTTCTCCCTCTCTTCACACGTGTTAAGAATATTTGGTTCCTACTGCTGATTTTGGAGATTTTGCGCTCACCGAACATCAAACCAAAATACTAGTACACCCATGAAGTAGTAATGCAGTAACTGTGCCTCTTGCCTTACCTTTGTTTATGCGCATGTGGTGCTGACAATTTGAATCGGTGGTCATAGAACACTTCTATTATATATTGTTTAATGACGTAATTTTGATGCACGTGAAATTCTGTATAATGTTACAATCATACCAAATCATACTTAATCACTTTTGGATTTCATGACAAATATGATGTTGTAAATGTTTTGTTATAAGAAGCAAAACTTGGTCAATGCGGTCTGTCAGTGTTTCAGTATATTAGTCCTAGCTCGGTTGCAAGGCCGGATCCAGAACACATTTTATTTGGGGGGGCCAAAAAAAATTGGTTCCCGAAACAGTGAGTCCAAAAATGTTCCTCCCCAAATTTAATATGATGTGCAAATGTATTGCTTTCGTTGAGTTTTGTGGTGTACGCAATGTCTGCCTGTTTTGCGACGTTACTTTAAAAAAAAATGGGTTCGTTTTGGGTGGGGGCATGACCCCTGTTGCCCCATCCGCCGTTGCTCGTTTACGTTTTTTTAATGACAGTTCCCCTATTCTACCAGTAATGTATTTAAAGTGGGTATTTTGTGTTAATGCCGGATATAGATTTAGTATTATGGTAATAAATAACCGAGTACACAGAAATCTGTGTTTCACTGTATGTAATGTTTCTCGTCGGTGACGTCTGAATGACCCAAGTCTGTTAATTTCTATGAATTTAACTTTAAAAGAATGTTCATACATAACAGAAAAATCCATATACTCGCAGAATAGATTCAGTATACAGAGAACAGGACACAGTAAGTGGAACAAATAACAGTAAAAAAAAAAAATAACAGCCAATAGGAAGCGAGGTGCAAAAAAAATGTAGGTAGTATAACAAGCAATTTTTTAAACTTTCAAAATGGCTGCCATTACTTGTTATTCTGTCTATAATTGTTTTTAAAGGGCAAATCTGCAATAGCCCCATGGCCAAGTATCTTTCTCATGACATACTCTGACTGTGTGCCAATCCCGCAATCCCATCACCTATCTGCTACACTATAACACACCACCGGCGGCGGAACCGGGGGGGGGGCAGAGGGGGGAGTTGCCCCCCACTTTTGAATAGGTAGCTATTTTGCCCCCCCCCCCACTTTTTACCAGGAGCGATTTTTAAAAAACGAGGTTAATTAAAATGATACAAGAGGTAAACAAGATTTTTGAACACGTGTCTCATTTACAGGCCCCTATTAATAGTATTATGTACTACAATGTATCTTTTGCTCAGAAAATATTTGTTTAAGTGGTCAGAAATTGCCTCAGATCGCACCACAGAGCATCTAGAATCCAAATTTTTTTTCGAGCCCCACGCCTCAAGGGCTTCGCGCTTCACGCTCGCATCAATTCTGATCAAGGTATGTTCCCCCACTTTTGAAAAGCGATTAACACCCCTGGTTGGGGTTGAAATTTGACAATAGGCCTTATACCTAAGTGAGTATGGCGACACAAAATTTGAAAAATGATACGAAAAATAGGGATATACCGTAATTTTCGGAATATAAGCCGCGCGGTGTATATATATAAGCCGCAGCACGCAAAAATCTGCAAATTAAGATCTGAAGTCGGCGTATATAAGCCGCATCCACCGCAGCGGTTTCAATTTTGTAAGGCCTCTAAATTCTAGTCAAAAAGCTCTGAACCAGTTCCAGTTACACCACAGAAGCTATAAAAAGGGCCCCAAAATTTATATCAAATCATTTGCAATCGATACTCTTACAAACAAATATGGAAATTGATGATGAGATATAAACACCGGAAACTGCTGCCGGCTGCCCCGTCCCGGTCCCCGGCCTTAAAAGTTAGTGCATGGCCGGCCAGGCAGCCTGCGCCGCGCCGCGCCGGTGAATGACAACATTTTCCCGCAGTACGTGAGAGAGTAAGCAACCTGACTGGATTGTCTGACTGGATTGCTACAAATATTGCTTTTGTGGCAACGGATGCTGACTTGTTTTGTCCTAAGAATAAACAGGTCCGTTTTTACTTCAAAACTTTTCAAATTTGTGTGATTATTAGCGAATAGTAACGTAAAAAATTCAAGTTTCTATCGTAACTTTCTTCAAAAAAAGTCAAAACCAAAGACCCTTTAGCGCCGTAGGAAACGATGCTGACATTTTTATGGACGAATCCATTAATTTTGTAAGGGGTGATTTAGTCCCTGTTTTGAGTTTTACATCGTTTCTTGAATTCGTTTCAAGAAAAAATATATTCCGTGACGTTAAACAACTTATTATCTAATAAAGAAATGTTTCGAACACCATAAAAAGTATTAGTCGTCTTTTTTCGTTTTTTTTTTTAATTCAGAAATATTGGTAATTATTGTTCCTAAGAAAGTACACACCTTCATTACCATAAATGGTGTGGTCCGCTGGGGGAAAGCATGCAGCTAGCTGCACACCACCCATGGTATCACGTTCGGCTGGTCACAAGCGTCGAAGACAGCTTTCACCGTACTTTTTACCGCTCGGTACCTTGGTTTCGGTTTGTTAATGACTTTTTTAATTGATAATTCATTTCAGCAACACCTCTCTTCTTATACCAGTACACTAACTACACATGTGAATCTTATTGTTTATTTTTCAAGGCTCAGCGTATAAGCCGCCCTGTGTATAAGCCGGAGTAAACATTTTCATGGGCAAAATCAAGCCGCGGCTTATATTCCGAAAATTACGGTAGGAATAGTGCACATGCATAGGTTAAAAGACATTGCGTAGGTCACACTTTCGTTTTGGACCAACTTCACACTTTTCCCATTTGCTTTGATTTTGCTTTAATCCTGCTCCGGGAACGGCAACTGGACCTTGCGGGGGGCAACACTTTTAATAGTGCCCCCCCCCCCCCCCCCCCACTTTTAAAAGTGTTCCGCCGCCAATGTAACACACTAACTATGTGACCAACGCGTGTTCACGCGCGCACTTACACCATGTGAAAACAAAACATTTAGACTCCATTAAGACAATACACTGCCAGAAGCTCCGTGCTTAATGTACACCAAAATGTTTTGAAACTGTGACTCAAGAACTGAGCACGAAAACCAAGAAGGGCTCAGATGTTAATTTTATAAAAGCTCAAACGACTTTCCAAATAAATGTAATGCAATCTTGT